ACGGGAAAATCTGACATTGGTGCTACTGCTACTGCGAATGGAAACGGTAAAGGACAGAATGGGAATAATGGTTTCACCGCCACTGCAACTTCCTCCTTCACTGGGAAGGCGACTTCCATTGCAGGTGGTAATGGCGCCGATTCTGCCGCAGCCGCGACTCAGCCTGCTGTCACCGCAAACGGGGTCGAATCGGGTGTCGACAAATCAGCTACTTTAACTTCTTCGAAAGCGTCCTCCACTGCATCCTCAGTGCATCTCAGTCAACCCCTCACGGCTACCGGACTGTAAGGCGCATCCTTTCTTCCAACCGCATGCCAACTAACTTTCGATTTAGCGCCAGTATTGACCGTGCTGCTGCTACTGGTACTACTTCGAGTTCTGAACACCTTTCAACTTTTACCAGTTTTTCCACCTCATTTAGTGCCGAAGTTTTCACCTCGACTTCTGGGACATTTAAAACGACTTTCACGTCAAGTGTACCAGTCGGGACTAGTACGATTACTGGTACGACTCCAGTCCCGACCGATGGGTATGCAAGAGATATCTCTAAATGTATTCGTGACTGACACTTCTTTTCAAGACATTCATCCTTTTCCCGCAACGATGCAATGATTGGTGGAATTGTAGGCGGCGTTTTGTTTTTGATCCTCCTGATTGTCGGTTTCTGCTGCTTCAGGCGCAGGTATCGAAGGCAGCCCGTCATCTTTTTGGATGCTACTCCTTATTCAGGTAGAGATGATTCCCCGCGCATTGCTCCTCGTGACTTGGAAGCTCCTCCCTCCCCGCTCTTCAATCCTATGGCCATGGTCGCTCCTTCCTCTTCCTCCTCGACACCTCCTGCCGGAAGTACGATATCCAGGAAACCTGTACCATTCTTCGACCTTCTCGATGATGACACTCTGACCATCAAGAGAAAAGCAACCCCTAGCATGTTCTCAAGTAGTGCCTCAGTTCCTCGAAGCTCTCTTTCCTCAGAGGGAACTCACCATTTCTCTTCCTCCTCTGTCTCGTCCTCCATTTCTAGCCGGGATTCTATCGCCAGCACAGTGAAACCTGAGAACCCACTCCCTAATCCGTTTGCAGATCCGGAAGCGCCCATGGCTGAAAACCCTTTCGCTGATCCTGTCAGCATATCTACAACCGGCAATAACGACTCTACGCGCACTCTTCTCGCTCTGCCCCAACTCCGACCACCGAAACCGTTTACGAATGAGATTGGCCGTCTTTCTCAGGCATCCGTAGGATCTAGTCATGTAAGTAATCAATGAGTTTCTTTTTCGTTCTGATTCTTACCATTCAACTTTTAGTGGGGACAAGCAGTGTAGTTGTGACGATCTCAAGTCCGGTTTCGAGTTGGATGAACTCTTTTTGTTTGGATTATTAAATTATTGGATCTCACAGTCGACTATCCTTATTATCGCATGGACACATTACTATATTCATTGCTTGAACATGCTGTGACTCGATGTCAATTTTTCAGTGTATACTTACTTATCTGAATTCCAGCGCTAGCAAGCTTGCTTGCGAGAGTCCTACGGAGACCACATAAATAAACGAGTATCTCTACGAGACGGCGTATATATTGTTGTGTATTTGTTCGAAACTATGAATGGCCACACATTGCCACTTTTATCGCGTAGCGATGAGAGAATGAAATAAAGTACAGACGCGCTGCAAAGCGCGCGTCTTCCAGCTTGCTTCCGACTCTCATGACCATTCTCTTTCTTTCTCTTCTTCAATGGTTACTAGATAAACTACCAATGGCTCAACGTATTCTCTTGTGCGTGCTAGCTGCTGGACCAATTCCTTAGCACGTTGCTATCGTTATGGAGGGAAGCCGGAGGTATGTAAGAGGTCAAGGGAAAATGGCGCAAGAAGGGCACGAGATGGTTATGTGGCATTGAGAAGGGTGCGTTTTTGCAACCTTTTACGAAATGAAAGGAATATCTCAACGTTTCGCTCTAAGGTCTAGAAATATGTCTACGCTTGAATATTCACTGTGTATCCGTATCCGTGTACGCATTCGCTATAGATGAATTTAAACACTCTCCGGATGAATGAGATGCTCTTATGCATCTGGCAGAGAACAAGCTGCTCGAAGCATGTGTCCATGGGTAGGTACACTACCTCTGTCGGCATTCATCACTTTCCTTGAACAAATTATAAATCCTTATGCTGTACTTGTGCTGTTCCCAGTTATCTCTTGCAAGAACGCGGAGTTAAACTGAACGTAATCGGGAGAATCGAGCTATTTCCAGAATCTGTACAAGCTGCTGCTGTGCGAAGAGCTGAAGAATAGGAATAACCGGTAATTACCACTTCTATTTGGCACATCTCGGGTGAACTAATAAACATATTGCAGCTCAATCCTAAACATCTGCATGCCATATACTTCGAGAGATGAGATGACTGCAGCAGTGGAAAGTTGCATTCGAGAGGCTCTCGATGACGACGATTACTCTACATGCGCGTTCGTTTCTGTTCATTTTTCAAGACGTTTACTAACATCGATTTTCCTCAAAAATGATTCTATCGAGAAGATAACCGAAGACAGCATCAACTCGCATCTAATGTCTGTGCAGCGAGGTCTCCGTTGGATATCCTGATTCGTACAAGCGGAGTGAAACGTCTTAGCGACTTCATGCTGTGGCAAGTACTAAAGTCTCTTTATTTTCTTTCCTAGACTGCAATTCTCAGTTAAATGGTACAGTGTTGCGAATATACACAGCTGCACTTCAGCAAGACTTATTGGCCCGACTTTGGGTTGTTTAATTTTGTACCCATCGCAGCGATCGGTGTGGTTCTCTTTAGCAACGATTAGATGATGACTAAAATTGTTAGCGACCGTGACATCGCGCCGCATCGTCACCTCGCGTGACTTACACGTTCATTTTTCTAGGCCAATCCTAGGACCTAAGCCATCGCAACGATCCTTCACAACAATGCCTTCCACGCATATCCACTTGGAACGACGTAAATCACCTATTTCTCTGGAAAAAGTTGCTTGACCAAGTGCACAAGTTCTTGCTGGCCATGGACTCCTCGAAGAGCCTGATCTACATAGCATGCACCTTTCTGAATTATCGACTCTGATGTTATATTTATATTTCTTGCATGCATTCATGTTTCTTTCCCAATTCTGGTATCAGTGGCCACGATTGACCGGATAATGTGGCAAACGGGGGTATCGACCATTGTTATTCTCTTTTGGCCTAAAAAGGACCTTCCGGACAATAAGCCTATGGATCACCAAAACTACCGCTTACGGAACTATAGTATTATAAAAGACGCTTTCCGTCTCCGTCCTCCATTGCCTCTAAACATTACTCCCGGTCCTACCATAAAATGGAATCGCCAAATCGGAGACGATCTGCTTCCTTCAACTCTCTGGTCATGAAAACGGTTGTACCGGATGCCATCATATCTCCTACGATTGCCCATCGCAAAGATTATTGCAGTTCTTCTCATACCAATGCCTCATCGATGCTGAACCAGAACGTTCCCAAAACTCCGCGATCATATACCCAATTCACCTACGAACCGAGTTACTCGCAGATGCTTGTTCATAGTGGACTCCTCCAACATGTTCGGCATCGACATATTTCAGAGAATCGCGCCTTGGCTACCTGGCTCAGCTTAATGATTATCAAGGGGAAATTAGTCCTTGACGATCCAGGCATCGGTACGTGGTGTTCTGAATCTGTCTGCACAGAATCTAATCATGCATTGTCTAGTTCTTGACGAGCTTGAATTACTACATGGACTGACTTACCACCTCACAAAATCATTCCAGGTCTTGAATCCACCTACGGCGGTGGTATTGGTTGCCTTTCTATATTTCTGTCGCATCTTTCCAAAAGAAGTTCGCTACTCTGGAAACCCGGATGACGAGTGCAGCATCGCACTTGCGCGACTTTTCCTGCTGTGTCTGCGGTTGGCCGCACAGTGGTTTGAAGACCAGTGTGAGTTTTTTGATTTCCGCGGCCGTCGTTTCCAGTGGTGAGTCTGCATATTCTTCCTTCGCTTACCTGCGCTCAATGCAATATACTTCAAAGGTTCGAATACTTGGGTCTCACTAAGGTCGTGTTCCGGAACGCCGATATCCAGACACTACTTCTTCTCGACCATAACCTTTGCGTGTCTAACGTTTCATATGCACACTGGCTCTCGCATTTGCTTTCCTCCTTACCCGAGTACCTCGGTAACTACCCGGAGGAGCGCTGTGCAATTAGCCAGCTCATACACGCCATTCGTCCTACCCTTACCGCTGCATTTCTTCACGCTGACCGTCTCCAATGTCCTGGACTTCCCTTTAATAAAGAGTGGCGGCCACCGCTGTGTTTTAGCGCTGGAGAATTCGAGGAGCGGGGAACGGATTTGGTGGACTGTGTTACGTTCGGACTCGCGATTCCTCTCCCTGTTGCCCAGGTTGGAGGTCATCGATGAAACAGCCTCAGAGGCTTCCTCTACCAGTTCTGACCTCGAACATAAGGTTGTCTGTTCTGTCGAGCGTCCAAAGCAAGCTATCCTGGAGCAGTGTCAGTAGCGACTCAATCGCGTCTGCCGCTCAGGCTGTAAGCTTTCCTCCAGAATGCAACTTGTCCCCGGGGAGCGATCGGAGCAGCTTAGGTGACTTTAAAAGGCATCTATCCCTCGAACGTTCTCAGCTTCCCAAGTCACCCTTCCCTACGCGAGCTGTTAACTTTAGCTTGCAGTCTAGCTTCTAAGGCTTCTTCAAAAGGATTCCGAAACTTTGGAATTGCGACCAGTGATTCTAATTCTACAGCTATTTACACTTTGAATTATATTCCGATTTACGCCTTCGTCGTCATCAGCATTGTATTATAGAACCTCCAAACGCATGCATCTGATATCTTCTGTATGTATCATTCTTGTAATCAAGACTTCTATCGTTCCACTGCTTAAAGATTTAGACCTCAGCTATAGTCTCAGTCGTCAACTAGTATTAGACATACGTAACTGAACGACAGAACTCAACTACACCGTTGGTGAAGTGGTTATCATGCTTGCCTTCCATGCTGAGAGTAGTACTCAGTAATTTCAGCAAGCGGCTCGGGTTCGATTCCCGAACGGTGTATAGATTGTGTCAAAACATCTCCTTTTTCTACAGAGCCTACAAGAAATTTTTTCTTGGCATAAGCACTCAACTCTGAAGTGATTGCAAACTAATGGTCGCAGTAAATAAATAATGCGTCTTTTTTTGACCTTCTTCCTTTACTGCAGAACAAACTCTCTGCTACAGGTAGGTCCATATTTGGTTATGGTTACTTTATTAGGAAGTATGCTACAGAGTAGCGATGGACTCGATATACATACTAGATTACAATGGACATACCTATCTTCTCCATCATCTTAACTTCTCAGCCCCATCCGAGTGTACTCTACGTCTACGTCCGTATTTGCGTACTGAGTGCTCAATCATAAAGCACTGTCTGCTTAGCTCTTGAGTGACTGAGTGTCTAGTACGAGCTCTCTTGATATTGATTCTTGGCAGATATTCAAAGGTCACCACCCCATGCAAGGCATTCAAGTTTATTCTTTGCCTGATTTGCCCACCGTTCTGAAGATCAACTATGGGTAGGCCTACAACGTCTAGTCGAAAGTTAATAAACAGTATTCACAGATATCTTAGCAGTAAGTACATTGTTCCAAATCATTATACAATACATATCTATGAAACACCCATCTCAGCCCCAACGGTTTTCAAGCATTCCCTCGCAAGCATGCGTGCATCCAAGTGTTCCAGATGTGGATCTCCAGTCCCGTTCACTTTGGAGTCCCGGTCCTCTGAATGCTGCGACGCCAAAGACGACGCAGTCGATGTAGGTCTAACATGAACCCACGCCTCCGGTGTACGTCTAGGTACCGATGCTATCTCGCATAACAAAGTATAAAATTTGAATAGATGCCCCACCGGTGAACGCTTGACTGCATCTGAGATCAGCGCCGTGGACGACTGTGCGGTTGAGGCGTCCGAATCTTGAGAGGATGTGAGTAATCCTAAAGGTGGCTGCTCCAAACAATATTTCGCCGGGTCGTCAGATAAGGCAGCCCATAATGACCCGGGCCACAGTCGTAACTCTCGCAGTTTCCGGAGGACATACAAAAGTTCATCCTCACGGGCCCTAGACAATGAGATAAATTGGAGCAAAATACCAGCAGTCCAAATGACAAGCTCACCTCGGGAACGGCAGATTCCCCCGCAACGCCTCATCTGCGACATATCTAACCATCGTCGTCTGACATCGGTTCAATAACGCAGGCAAGCTCAACGCCGCAAGACGCTTCCGAGAATTCTCTTGGTCTGGATAGAATGAAAATCAGTTTACATCAAAGCAAAACAACGACGAAACTTGACGAACCCTTTGTCGTATCTGAACAGATCAAAAACAGCAAATCAAAGCACCAATACGAAAACCTTTCACGAGGAAGAGAGATCCCTGAATCTGTACTTCCATGTAGACGATGCCGATCCACATCGAGTCGAATATAATCAGTGGATCCTCTTCCAGAGTCGTCCTCAGGAGTATACGGCGAGTGCACGGAATCATAAAGCTGACTTCCCTGCGCCAATACCTTGGCGAGCTGTGTCAGGACCGAATCAGGAATTCTGCGTGTTCCGAGATGAGGGACGACATCGATTTCGAGGGCCGCAATTAGCGAAAGGTCAAAGTTTTCTTCTTCCTCTTGAACATCCAAGGGGAAACTTTCGGCAGTGGAACTAGTATCATGGACGAATGAGAACAAGGGGCGACGATAGACGCATCAAGCATACCAATCTGCCAGAATTCCTCCACGGAACACATCTATAACCTGTCGCCAGATACCCTCCACTCGCTCATCTGATAGTTCTACAGATGGATGGGTGAGCATAATACTGCAGATAGTGATCGACTAATCTACCTTCGTCAAACGCAATAACCTGAGGAGAACATTCCTTGACGATGCGCAAGAAGCAAGTCGTTGCCGTCTTCCATAACGGTGAATCTTTCCCATGTTTTGACGGTGCAGGACAATCGTATTTTAGCTTCACTGGTATAGAGTACGCCTGTATTCACATTGCATCAGATCTCGAAAGGGAGGGGGAGCAAGGAAAATCGACTAACAGACAAGACGGCCTCCAAAGTCCCCTCGGTGTACAACTCCTTTCTATCCTTGAATTGAAGGCAAAGCTCAACAAGCTTAGGCATAGTCTTTTTGGCAAGAGCAATGTATGTGATGCGCCTGGGTGGAGTTTGGCTCTTGGGGTCCGGTGGAACGTCGAAAGCGGCAAGGAAAGGTAGGGTAGCGAATTCTGATAAATCTCGCAGAATGAGTGATGGAGCACCAGGAGCGGACAAGTCGATCCCGCCAATGGTGGTCATTACAACAGTCTGAAAGCAAGTTTAGAAAGAATCAGTACACAAAGTGCTTAATTTAACAATACCTGAACCGGAGGTAATGCATCAATGTCGGGACGATAATCAGGTGAATTCGGATAGGTTAACACTCCTAAGAAAAGTGTCAGGACAAGGATACTCGGTATCACATCAACACACACCTTTTAAAATGATCATTAACCGAGTCAGCCTATCCAAGGACCATTCAACACCATCTAACGCACGACTCAGGCTCCGAGTACACTGTATAACATCCACAAAAGCGACCAAGCTCTCTTGGGTGAAAGGTTTCGGTAGCGATTCAGTCGACGGAGACTGCGTCTGCGAACCATTTCGGCGCAAAATCGCACTTCCAACGGAATCTATCGCATCCCAAACACGCTCCTTCATCTCAGTCACCTTGTCCTTGACATCAAAAACAGATGCCGAAGACGCCTTGACTGCCTTCTCCAAGCACCTCAAAGCCGGAGTGCTTATCAACCGATTATCGAGGATGACAGAGTCCTGAATCCGCGTGACAAAAATATCCCATGCTTTGGAAAAGGACTCGAGATGGATGAGTTTGGGGGAAAGAAAGTCGTGGAAGATTGACCCGATGGAATGGAACGCTAGGATTTTTGATTCATCCCATGCTTGTTCTCCATTCCCACTTGTTTCCTCCTCTCCCATATCCAAAGACTCTGAAAGCCCAGCCCGACGATGGATCTCTGACGACAAAGAGTCTATCAACGGAAACGCGACTTTCCATATACATTCGTCCCATGTCTGTAGACTCAGCGTGGCGCCATACAGCTGCATAGTCCGGAACAAAGTCTGTATCGCACCATCTCTAACCTCCGGTCGATCATCCGTGCAGAGACCCAAGACTTCCAGTAGCAGAAACATCCACAATGCGCTATACTCCGGCTCCTTCTCCGCATCCTTCCGCTTCGCCTGTATCGCATCTGAAACGCTCCATAACAGACTCGCGGCAGCGGTAAGAGCGATATTGGTATTGGCTTGACGACCGAATTGACCTAGGGTGCTGATACAGAGACGGAGATGTTCAGGTGAAAGTTCGGAGATGGAGTCACAGACGAGATTGAGTGATTGAAAGGCTATCTTGACTAGAGTGGTGTAGCTTTTCTCGGAAGGTACACCAAGTCCCAGACCTAATGGAAGCGGTTTCACTCGAAGGGTAGGCGAAGCCGAGGGACTAGCCATATCATCCATCGATACAGACCTTGTTGGTGCTGGAGGCCTACATACACTCTCAAGCATAGCGAAATATCGTCTCCCAACCTACAACCAACGTATGTCCCGACGCTTGAAGAATATCATGCAACGTCTCAAGACCCATCCTTCTCAGCTCCACAGTGGTACCAACAAAATTCGTCGTAACAGTATTAGCGGAGTAGGTGTAATTTGGCATGACCTGCTGCGAAAGCACCTCCAAAACGCGCTGCTGGACCTGGGCTTGCAGCTCGCCCGCCGAGCTCAGATTGCGAGGTACAGTGATGAGGATTTCATCTAGGACTCGAGCAGCCTGGATGCGTATCGGTGGAGGAGCGACAGGTAGACGGATAACGGAAAGGAGATGAGAAGTCGTTGTCGTCCATGCTATCTCTGGAGGTCGGTATATCAGTCGATGGATATTTAGAGATACTACACCGCCGAGTTTGTTGATACCAAAATCGCCCGTTCGCTGGATAACAGAACCAAATTCAGTCTCAAACCTCTTTCAAAAAAGCAAGATACACACCAACGTCCTCGGAAGATGAATCCCACTAACTCTCCTCCGACTCGGTAGTCTCTGGAGGCTGAGGAGAAAGCACCCCGCTCAACTCCTCCATACTCCCATTCTCCGCAATAACCTCCAAACTCTCACCCCCCTCCGTCTGCATCCCAATCATCTCCGCACTCAATTTACACAACGCATCAATGAAATCCTTAAACGCCGCATCTTCCAAATTCTTTGACGCGTCGAAAAGACGCTGCATCACATTTTGCATTGTGTCGGTATCGAGATCGGTGAGGAGGGGATGACGGGCGGTAGACTGCGATGAACCTGATACCGAAGCTGAGGAAGGTCCTTGACCTTGTCCTGTTGACCCAGACCCTGAAGCAGACATGGACATGGACATGGACCGCGATGGGACACTCCCACTTCCACTAGGCGAGAACGCCCCACGCTTACTCGGCGACCCAACCCCAAACCCACTCCCACCTCCTCCAAACCCAACCTCCTCCAAACCCACCCCCAACGCCCTTACTCGTCAACACATAATCCGCATTCTGCAGCACCTCCAAAATCCCAAACCAACTCTCCCCAAGGCTCCCAGCGAGGAACATCGCACTGGATATCAATACTTTGAGACACGCCAGGTTGCGTTCGGATAAGCCTGGGGGATAAATAGGTCCACTGCTCCCACTCAAACTCAAGCCGAGGTTTTCTGAAAGCGACGCCGTCGCAGAGCGAGGCGTCTGTGGGTCCGAATATGAATCAAGACTCGATACCACCCGGGTGGGTACAGAGAATTTCGCCAAACTCGTGAAAAAGGCGTCTCTCGGAGTCGTAAGACCCAACATGCCAGAAACGTTCGTCATGGCTTGATAGCTCGCCAAAACATCAACGAATAGTTCGTCTGAGAGATTCGTAGCGATGACGAAGGAGAGTGCAGCGAGGAGGGCAGGCCAGCCGCTTTCAATGATATCTCGT